GGGGGGGAGAGCCACTCAACGACCCCATGGCAATTAAAAACAATTCTACAACAGCTCATAATCCAGGATCAAGTGGAGGTTTCTGCTTTGACTGTCCAGGCTCCCCCAAGCGGCCATGCCGCCCACTGTGGGAAATGTGGCCACAGAGCAGCAGCATCCCCAGTACCGGAACCTTCCAACTGCTAAGGTGGCTTCCTCTCCAGCTTCCAATGGAGCCAAACCACCAGCCTCTTATTCACCTATGCAGCTGCAATCTCCCAGGTCTCCCAAATGCCTCTACGCTGCGTCCTAGTATTGCTTTATCAAAGTCTGCTCCAGGAATATATTTCTACCCCACCCCGTCCCTGTGCCAGGCTCCCAAATTTTATCCAAAGTTAAGGTTGTGGCTCAGTGTGGCTCAATAGACTTAAATTCATGGAAAGCTGGCCAAAAAGTATGCTTTGAAAACAACACTTCAAAACCCACAATCTATGTGCATCACATGTATAAGAAGATGTCAGTGAACCGGCAGGGGCTGCTTTAAGACAAGTGGTTCTATGATTTGCTCCGTACAGTGTATATGGAAACACACAGCCTCTATCATTTACTACTATGCACAATTGAGTTAACATCTACCACGCTGAGTTGCTAAAACAGATCAGACCCAGGCCAGCAGCTACTCTTAAAGTAAGCCAGGCAAGGGGGAGGAGCAATTTCACTTAATGCAAGAATCCTCGCCCCTCCAGGAACTCCGTTCTCTCCCTCTCTCACACTGACCTCCTGGCACCCCTGCATTCTGGAGCTTCAACAGGACTCACCACCCTTCTCCACCACCCCCAGCCCCATGCCAGAAAGAAAAAGTAGATACGCACCTTAAAATCTGTATTATTGATATATTCAAATACCAAAGCTGGGGTCTTTGACTGCAAGAGAGAATATTAATGCTTTTTAAATACTCAAAGAATAAACACAATTTGCTTCTGCCAAAGTGGCCCATCCCCAAACCCCATGTACATGAAAAAAGGGATTTAATTCATCAGAAAGAACCTGACAAAAAAGCACTCTCTGGACATCATTTTTGGACGTCTGGGGGTTGTTGGAACCTAACTGGGGCTGGGGAGAGGGAGGAAGAGCTGAAAGAAACAAGGTCAGCCATGAGCTGATCAACTGCTAAAAATAGGTGACAGATCTTAGAGGCTCCCTTCACTTGTCAAGGGTTAACATTTTTCATAAAAAGCCCTTTTCCGGGAAAAACCAACATATTCTTTGAAAAACTTATGAAAAATGTCAACAAGCCTGGCGCATTATGTAAAGACCACCCTCTGGAGGGCTCGGACTTGCCAACCCAAAAGTAGGCACACATTTCCAGCCAGATGCATCTGACAGAATCACCCTGGGCCTTGGGAATATTTCATTCAATCATGCCGGGAGGGATAAGTCAGCATTTGAAATTATTGTCCTGGCCAGAGGACATCACAGCAATGTGCCACCTTGCGAAACAAGACATGTTCCTCTCGAATCATGTATATACTGAAAGTCCTATAATCTTTAATGCATGAGCTCTCACTTTCAATTTTTCCTTGTGTACATCCAGATTTTCAAATGTCAGGTTTATGTATGTGAGGTAAAAGAATGCTAATGGACAGTAATGAGATTTTTAAAATTGGGAGAAAAGGAAGAGCTTCAAAGGGATATATAAAAAAAGAATAGAAAGAGCATCATCTTGGAAATCTCAACAGCTGGCAAGTTCTGCTCAAGGAAAGCTACTGAGGAACTAGAACAAAGTATGTGCACGGAGATCTTTCCTGGGGCAACTTACAGCCCAGAGGCAAATCCAACAGCAGTCACGACCAAATGAATGCTCACCAGCCCCAGGCTGGAAGACACTGACACCACCAGCTCTCTCATGGGCCCTAGAGCAAGCCCACTCCCTGAAAAATAGGGTCAGGGCTTTTTGGATTTTTGTTTCCTTCAATTTACTGAGCTTATCTATCATGGGAAACACACGCACACACATTTTAAACAACACATCACAAAAATAGAAGACAGGTAACGCTAAGTTAATGTAAAGAAAAAAAAAAGTGGCCTAAAGATGTTCTTGGTATAATAAATACTAGCTCACCTGGGGGCGGGAGCCCTCTGGAATCCAGATTTTTATTTCGTGTTCTGTTAAATGGATCGCTTTCCTTTTTAATGCAAACTGCTTTCCAAGCAGAGGTTGACTGGGTTAGTCACCTTGGAGACCGACCTGAGCTGAGCAGGCTGGGGTATCTTTTTTAATGTCCATTACCATCTGACATACAACCAGGGTCTCAACAGGAAAACCTTTGTTCTTTAACCCAACACCATTGTTATCTTGGGCTTTCAGGGCTCTCCTCTTTATAACATGGACAGCAATGGCCACCCCCCCACCCACCATGGTAGTGGGGATTAAATGACATGCTACATGACAGACTCTCATAGTGCCTGGCACGTGGGGTAGTGCTCAGCGATTATTAGCTAGCATGAAGCTGTCTTTAGCCCACAGAAGCAAATACTCTCAAAGAAACAAAAACGATCATGGGAGAACCCTGAGGTAGCGCAAGTTGGAAAACAGAAAGGACCAAATTGGGGGTGGAGTCTTCAACCATGGCTAATCAATAAAACTTACGGTTAAGTTATTCCCTAAGGAGATGAAACAAAATTAAAAAGCACATCTAAAATAGCTAAGAGTTAAGCACTTTTTAATTAGCAGGACTATGATGAGTCCTAATGGTGGACGCTCAGTTAAGGACCAGCATGAGAAACAGCAGGACTGCTTCCTTAAGGGCTCGGGTTGTGACCTGCCAGCTACAACCTATGCCAGGGGTCAACATGGAGCTAGTCCACCAACGGTTATGGGATGCATCACAGAATGAAGTAACAAACCCAGAACAGGCTCCACAAAAGCAGTGATGGGGGGGTTACTATGACTTTCCAAACCATTCGGTAACAGAGACGAACACAAGCATCCTACATAGAATGACGAGGCGCTGTGTTTGATTCTCTCTCTCTGTGACACACACACACACTCCACTACCCCAAACACACACACACACACACACTCCACTACCCCAACCACCAGGCACCTACCACAGGGTCCTTTACAGTGTCAATCAGCTTAATGATATTTGTTCCACCACGAAGGTTCTCCAGAATCTTAACCTCTCGTTTTATCTTCTTTTTCTTCACTGGCTTAAATACACAAGAGTAATCAGAAGTGAGACTCCATTTGATGTTAATATAAAAATATATATAACTCTAAAACAATGTTAGCCAACTGAGTGGTTACTGTGCTATTTTGCACCATGGTGGGTTAAAGAGCATGTCAGTACTCGGAGGTAACGCAACCACGGTACATTGGGCTTGTCCATAAGAAACTTGAGTTAAACAACTACAGGCTCATAAAGGCTTTCTATCAGATCTTTACACAGCTACATTTAGGACACTTAAAATGTCTGCACACCCATGTCACTCTTTAAAAATAAAATGCTTGCTTACTAGACAGCTGCCCAATGGGAAATGCTGCAGCTCCGAGCAGCTGTATGCCATGCCCTCACACATGGAAAAACTGAAACAAAATGGTGAGACCCCTGCTCGCCCAGGAGTTACATATCATTTTTTTTTGTCCTCTGGGAGTTTAGACCAGCTCACCAACATCAAGTTACAAATGTGCTTCCCAGCTGCCAGCTCCCGTTTCCTGTTACCACTCCTGTTTCCTCAATCTCTATCTAGACTCTGCACTCAGCAGAGAGCCAGAAAGCGTCCTAACTAAGGTGACCAGATTTTAACATTGGTAAAGCGGGACACCATTGACTGGGGTGGGGGTGGGTTCCTGATTAAAAATTTGGTCTTCCTGTTCTGCCGCCATTCCCTAGCTTGTCGAACATTCTTTCCAAAAATCGGGACTTTTTTAAACGCTGCAGGACGTGGGACAAATTGTTAAAAAGCGGGACTGTCCCGCCAAAAGCGGGACGTCTGGTCACCTTCGTCCTAACGGATCTCAATCCAAAAGAGCCGATGGCCCAGCAAAGGAGAACACAGAGCCCTGATCTAGCAGTGATTGGAAACCTCTGCTCCCGGAGAACTTTGTGAGCTCCTTGATTGAAAGACTGAAGAACTCCATGAGAAACACTAGCATACGGTTACTTCTTGTCTTAAAGGGGTGAGTTTGAGGAGGATACATGTAGTTCTAGAAAGGGAAGGGCCTACTAGGCCAGCCAGCTGGGTTTTCTAAGCCCTGGGCAATAGCTGGACAGAGTCAGCACTTGAAAAATGGTGGCTTTGTTTCCAGACTTTTAGTTAATGTCAGCAGCACCTGAGCCGAACCTGCAGGAGCACGTTCAATCCTCACAAAAACCTACGCAGCAGATGCAGGGTTCAAATCTAGGTGGACAGGACTCCCCAGACTGCAACTTGAACCACCGTGCTTGCTCCCCATATGGGATGAAGAGAGAAATGGAGTATGGAAAATCCGCACCCTACCAGTAACAATGCTCCGACAGTGGGCTTCCCATGACATAACTCAGGACAAAAAAGCCCACTTGTGTAGGGGGTGCTGGGGGAGAGTGAAAGGGAGATATAACACACGTGTGTCAAAAAACACCATCATCTTTTGTTGAAAGATATAGCTTTGAACACGTAACAAAAAGGAGAGAGAACTATGAGCGCCACTTGCATCACCCTCAATAAAGGACTCAACTGGCACTAGACTCTGGCAGAGGGCCCTCCCTCTCATGCCCACTTGCCTGCTTTGTCAGGGCCCTAGGGAAGCAGGACTGGCTTTCCCAGCGCCCCTTACAAATGTACTCTTTTCTTCACAATTAATCGTCAGGTGCATGGAGTTGGTCCTGACTCCCGGTGACCTTATGTACACTAGAGCAAGACACCGCCCCGTCCTGCACCATCCTCTTAATTGTTCTCTGAGCCCAGCGTTACAGCCATTGTGTCAGTCTACCTTGTTGGCGGTCTTCCCCTTTGGTGCTTGCTTTTTGTTCAATGAAGCTGGGGCTCTTGTGTGAGGGCTGCACTATATAACTGGCCTCTAGGTTTCAAGCAATCAGCCCTCAAGGCACAGAGGTTAAGTGTTTAGCTGATTGGAGATTGGAGGTTGGAGGTTGAAGCCCACAAGGCTCTCCATGGAAGAAAACTGTGACAGCCACTTCGGTCAAGATGACAGCCTTGGCCACTCTATTGGGCAGTTCTCTGTCCCACAAGGCTGTTGTGAGTCAGAATCACCTCTATAACAGGTTCCCAAAACGTTAATATTGTGATACTAAGACTGATGAACTTTCCAAATTACAAAGCTATGTTAGTGATTCTAACAAGGAGTGGAGATTTTCTTTTGCTTTCAAGAACATTTTTAGTACAAATGGCAAAAATGCATAGAGGCTGTAGATTCCACCACCTGATGCATAATAGTAATAAGAGGAAAAAAGGAAGAATCTAGGAATGCCTGCAATTTACTTCCAAATACTTCTATGTATTTTTATCTAGGTATACATAAAAAGTCTGGCCAGAGTGCTCCTTAGAGGCAATATGGCAAAGCTGACATACTTCGGACATGTTGTCAAGAGACACGAGTCCCTGGAGAAGGACATCATGCTTGTTCAGAGGGGTGGGCGAGAAAGAAGGCCCCTAACGAGATGAACTGATAGAAAGGCTCTAACAATGGGTCTCGGGCATAGGGATAATTGTGAGGGTGGCACAGGACCGGGCAGTGTTTCGTTGTGTTGTGCATATGGGTTGTAGCTGACTTGATAGCACCCAAAAGCATGTACGCGCACGCACGTCTGTATATATATAAAACATTACAGTAGGAGAAATGGAACAGAAAAATGCAACTTTTCTGCAAGCATGAAATTGTGTCCAACAGTCGGAAGATTAAAAGCAGGTCATATTTGACCCATGAGCCAATGCTAGCAGATAATGCAGTGTCTTTCAATATAAGAAAATTCTAGAGCTGCCATCCACTCCTAGAAGCAGCTGTAGGGATGTAACAAAAACTCAAGACTGTCAGACACCCGCATACGCTGTCCCCAGCCCCTTCCTCTATTCCCACCAGTGAATTAGTATGGGATAACCTATCAAATAAGTAGTCCAATGGGCGCAATGGTTAAGTCCTCAGCTACAGCGGTTCGAATCCGGCCGGCAACTCCACGGGAGAAAGACCAGCTCTGCTCTCAGAAATATGACAACTGAGACAATCTAAGGGGTCAGTCCTATTCTGTTGCACAGGGTCCATCAGAGTCGAAATCGAAGACCCCTGTGGCAAACAAGAGAACCATGAAAGGAGTTGCTTTTATGACACTGCCCTTTAAAGAGCCTTGGTTCACTCTTCGGCTATTCAGCAACAGACCAGGCAGGCAAATCAGTACTGGACAAACCAGCTACAACGAAGGTGTCGTTCAGTCTGTCTAAAGCTAAGTTACAGAACTGAAGCAATTTTGCTGCTCAATTGTCCCTTGCCCCATGACTGCCCACACTAGCGGCTACTACAGCAGGACAATTCTGAGTGCCCAAGGAGGGCTCACAGCAGCCGGTGCCCTCATGACCCAACCAACGACTGAGAGACTGTGAGACAGAAAAATGACCTGCAGCCCAGCACACCCCCTCCACAGCACTGCACCTGTTCTTGGCCAGAGAGCCAGGCTCCAGCAGGTTAACTCTCTTTGGCCTCAGCTTAGGCCCCCGAAGCTGGGAGATGCTTGGCAGGTTAAGCCACAGTGACACCAAGGGAATGAAAGCTCAAAGTTCATTAGTCCAATTCGACAAAAGGAATTGGAAAGAAAAGCTAAGACTTACAAAGGACCAGGGCAAGTTACAAAATGACCTTCTCTCACCTCCCAAGGAGGACCCTGGGCATCATAAGGAATCTGAATCATGGTCTTCAGAAAGGAGGGTGCACTGCCTCTCTCTTGCCTTGGGCTGGCTCTCATTCACCAGCAGTTATGCAAAGCGGAGACAAGACCTGCATTTCCATGGCAATCCCACAATCCCTTGCAGGCTTAGAAAAACTCACTTCTACCAAAGCTGAAAGCTCGTTTATTCAAATTCAGAAAATGTGTTTAAAAGATTCAAAGGAAATCAGCTTAGCTGTTTTACAAGTAAGTCTGTTCTCTAACTCGACTAGATAAAATAGCAAAAGAGTTTAAAAAAAGAATTAAAAGGAAATTCAAGTATTAAATCAAGTTTTGGTAGCAACTTCTGGCATATACTTAAAGACACTACTAAGGAAGAAAAACAGTACAATTTTTCTTTGCATGAGCTCTGAAAATTTAAACCAAATAAAAATTCATTTTGACACGTTTCTATCCAGTTGGTGGCCAGTCCAGCTACCCTGGAGAAACCAATTCAAAGTAATCCGACAGTAAAGTGTTATTTCCCTTCCCAACATTTTATAATTAGAAAATAAAACACAAAATTTGGGGGCAGGATGCTGGTGAAAAGGTGATAAAGTCAGCAGTTTGTCCTGTTTATTTAACCAGGGCTGCTTAAAAAAAAAAAAAGCCAGATCTGAGGAGTTCAACTATAAACATTTAATTGTGATCGAAATTACAAACTTATGCCTAGTTAAAACATAAAAATTATGACCATTTAAATATCTTTCCAAATACAACTAAATCGATGATAATCAAAAACCAAAAAGCCCAAACTCACTGCCACTGAGTCAATTCGGACTCACAGGGCAGGATTGAACGGCCCCTCGGTGTGTTTTCAAGACTCTTAACTGGTATTTATAAGAGTATAAAGCCACATCTTCCTCCCAGCTGGTGGATTCCAACTGCTGGCCTATGGTTAGGAGCCCAACATTTAACCTGCCATGCCATCAAGTCTCCAAATGATAATCAAGACTGAGAAGTTTTAACTCTAGGGTTGATTTCACTCCACTCCCAAACCATTTGTGGCTGGCCTGCATACCATCAGCTACATGAACGATCACAACCTGCAATGGTCGACAGGAACACACAAGGATGGAGTAAGGAAAGCAGTTCAGCCAGGATAGCAGCATTTCTTTTATTACCATAGAAGTATCCCTAAAACCCACGGAAGCTGTCCTGAATGTAAACATACTACCCGGGCAACGTTTTCTTTGTTTATCTTTTACTCACAGCCAGACTTCTCTAATCTCTGAAATCCCATCTTTCCAATGCATGGTACACTCCTTAGGATAACTGTTTATTCTCATCATTGTA